GGCACGGCAGGAAGATTTCTGCAATCAATGGAGAGACAGGCACAATTTTGAAACAGAGAGGAGAAGACAGGGGTTCCAGATACCAAGTGACCAAGGCCCAACACAGGCACCGTGAGCTGACAGGCTAAGTTGCTTCAGGGGACTTAAAGAAATGCTCGGAAAAGATCTGGAGTTTATGTTTCTGGAAAAATAAAAACCATAGTTGAGGGTTTTGTGTTTAGGGTTTGGACAGAATTAGGGCAAACAGGGTTCAGAATAGGAGAGTTTTCATGTGGCTCACGTGGGGGATTTACAGTTTAGACAAAATTGGCAGCTTTGGCAGCTTCTAGGACCTTTCTTGCTAGTCATGCTTTATGCGACAGGTTTTTGCAGTAGACCTGAGAGGAAAGGATGAAGCAGGGCAAGCTGACAGTCAATCCTCCACGATGTTGGAGCAATCAATGCTGGTCAGGGGTCCTTCGGCCGGACGGAAGGAAGTGTGGGTGAGTACCTATGATCCTGTTATTCTGACTTGCTGGTGGAATAGGAACCGGACTGATGCTCCCCAGAATGGAAATGGAGCCAGGACCATAAGGGCCTGTTTAAAAAAAAAAAAATTCTGATGGACTGGCTAATGCAACTTGAGCACTTTGTTAACCTAGTGGATTGGTTGTTTTGTTGCAAGGTAATGGATATTGAGTATTATAATACTATTATTGACTATTATTGAGAGTCGGGAGGCCATTATGAACTGGCACATACCAGGGATCCCTGTTGAGCATCTCTTGCTAGGTTGTGTTTTCTGTCATCGTGCTCTTTTTTCCCTTGTGATTTGTGGCCCATTTGGTCAACGTCTGCTTAGCCAAGCCAGCCCATTGTTGGGCACCTCTCAACTCCTCGTGGAGACACTGAAGAGGTTAATCTCGATCATCTGCAAGTAAGCTAGACTGAAGTGCGATTACGGTGTGCGGGAGCCTGTTCTGTTTCTTGAGCTAATTCTTGGATGCGGTTTGGGTGATTTACCATCTGGATGCTCATGTCAATTTTGGCATACCCGTTCATCCAATGTATTGATGCAGTGACAAAGTTGTCGAGTGAAAAAAAAGAAAAAGAAAAGAAAGGGGTACCCCAAGGACAACCAAAAAACTGTCTAATTATAAAATTGCTTTAATATGTTGGACATCTCAAATGCTCTCGTTGTCTGCAATAGGACGAAGACTGCTTTGATTCTGAATCTATTCATCTGGGTGGAATTGGGCCTGTTGTGGGGAAAATCTAAAACACCCACCCACCCACACACACACACACACACACACACACACATACACACACACACACACATACACACACACACACACACACACACACACACATGAATGTGGTCTGTACTAGACTCTTAGGGATATTGCGCTAGATTACATGTATAGAGCGCCATGTGCCTCTTACACAACCTGTAGGTCCTCCCTTCTACTGCAAAGGTCTTTTGTGTTGTGTGTTGGTGAAATGTCTTACTCCACCCTTTTCTCTCAGTTCTCTTCTTTACAAAATTGCACTGCCATAAGCACCTGTGCATGTGAACCTCTGCTAAGGATGCCGCAACATAGACAGAGAGTAAACTCTGGTTAGCACCGGTAGTTTCAGGCATGATTGAGGATGACTAGTACAGCAGATGACACTTTGCCTGGATTGGGGTTGTGTGCTCCTTTGCAGTAGTGGCGAAAATATTACACGAGGCCATACACACACAGCACATTTTGACAGTGCACCCTGGCATGCGTGAACATGGTTGCACTCACTCATTCGCAACTGTGTCTGCCCATGGTGTTTCCATGTATGTTTGCAATGTGTGTGTTCTATGTTAACTGGACACAACTTGGTATAAACTGAGAGATTGCGAGAGTGGCTTTGAACTTTCAGAAGCGCATGTATGTCTGCACCGTGTTTCTTATGTTCACTAGACAAAGGAACAGTGCACAGGCAACCTACTCAGGTCTGGAAATGCCAAACCTTTCATTGCCGAAATGCACCTGGATGTACAGACGCCCAGGTGTACGACTTGCATGTCGGCTTGCTAACGCCCAGGAGCATTCTGACTGGTCTAGGCTTGGCGTTTCAAACATAACCGGGCTATTCCTGGCCTTTGTCCTTCGGGCTCCCACTTCTCAATGCATTTTTCCTCTCTGTTGAGAACTAATGGTTGTGTTCAACCGACACCTTCATCGTCTCCGAAGGGTGCATGATTCTCACTTCGCAACATCATCTTTGCCTTTCCCGAGCTTGCAAATTCTTTCCTATTTGAACTCGTTTTTGACACAGTCAATGTCCTGAGTTCTATCGTCCATTGACTTCATTGCTTCCAAGTACTGACTGTAGTAAGGACATGACACCAGTCTTTGGGACCAGGACCCTCAAGGCAGCCATGATTGTGGAATAACTGATCTAGGATCTTCTGGGCTCAGGAAGTAAATGGCCGCTCTGGGGTCTGACATTGTGAACTTACCATCGTACCTAGCATACAGCCCAGCTGAGTTCTTAGGACAAATACTCTCTGCACTGAAACAGAACTTATTTGGTCATCATCGTCATTGAGGAGCCGCTTCGCAAAGGGTGGTTCTTTTGACAGTCTGGGATAACCTTTGTTAAAGATTGATGCTTGGGAGGTTCGGACAACCCTTAAGGGAATAGGATTGAACATCTTCAACCTTTGTCTTGTCTTTGAATGATGGAAAGACAAGGGGTAGATAAAATCTCAAAGAATAGATTACCATCAAAGTCACTGGTCAGAAGTGTAACTCTGCAACTCTCTTTGTCTTGTCTTTGAATGATGGAAATATGAAACGGCTGAAATTGCAATGATTGTACGACTCACATGTCAAATGTTGCTTGCTGCCACTGCTTGTGCAATTTGTACAGATTCATCCTGTAGTTTCACGTCTTTGTGACCCGATTGAGGGAACAGATGCAGCACGCATAGCAGACTGTCTTGGAATGGATGCCACAAAGGTAATAAAAAATCCACTTGCTCGACTTTCTCCTATCATCAGTCCATGGGTATCCTTGGTATATCACACAAGAGGCTGTGAATGCACACGGGATGTGTGGGCAATCTCTTGGTCTTCAATGTGTCAAGCTCAAGTCTGCTGACTCTGTACTGAACTTTTTAATTCTTGTTGTTGTCTCCCTTCTTTCCAATCCTAGTTCAAAGCTGTCTCAAGTTTTCTGAAATTTTCATGAACGTGGCAGGGTTCATACAGGGGTGTAGCAAGTTGTTGTGACTTACAGAAGGCTCGTGAGCATGTGCCACTGAGCCTGTCAGAAGGGGACACGGCCTTGGAGAGTTTTACTACTCTGGAGAGTTTTCATGTGTACATAATATGGAATCTATATATACACATCAAAGGGTAGTCAAATGCAATCATTCAAACACTGCTAAGACACAACGCAGGGATCATCATTTTTTGTAACATCGAACCGACAGACACCAGTCGTGTAACCCATCTCATGCAGTCATTGAGAGATACAATCAGTGTTTGACTCATCAGATTAACAGAGGAAAGCGATTCGGGCTTGGCGTATTCATCCAATCAATCTTTGGCAGATATGGGCCATCGGCGACACAGAGCAGCGTTCAGAATACCCAAAGTAGGAAGACGTTTCAGAATTCTATTTTCCTTTCCCTTTTTTTCCTTCCTCTGTTGTCCTCTCTTTCTATTCTCCTTCCTACCGTCTTCCCCCGAACATAACGTGTATGTGTAAACAAAGACAACCCGTAAGTTGCTTTCTATTTGAATACAACGCGTATCTGTTCTATTCGAACAGCCCTTATTTTCGTGTTCTATTCGAATTTCCACTTTTCGAGAACTCGAACACAACGCATATGCATTATGTTCGGGGGAAGATGGTCGTTGTCACCTTTGGGGCTGGAGTAGATTCCCTGTCCACTTTTCCTGACTGGGTTCGAATTGTGCTGTTCAACGAATTCAAGGGTCAAAGTCAGAGGCCGATTTCTTTGGGACATCCGTTAGAATTGGAATGATACAGAGACTGTTAGCATACCCCCTGTGTGAAGATAGCACACACAAATTGAGAAATGCCTTCCCCCCCCTTCCAAAAAAAAAGGAGGTTGAAGTTTGCATGTTCGGACCCTCCTCTCACTCAGGACTTTTCCTATGCGGTTTTGGTTCTTGCAGTTCTACAACCAATACAACACAGCGGTGGCAGACAAGGATGATGCTCTTCTTGCTTCAGGATCGCTTCTTGATGATGACGATCGGTGAGTGTGGTATCCAAGGTCAAGAGGTCAAGGACAGCAGATTCTGCTGGTCAAGAATTCAAGCGTTTAACCTTTCTCCATGGCTGTTGAATCAGAAAAGAATTGGAAAATCAAACACTGCTGTGTACGGTATTTTACTGGACAGCTGAGAAATGTGTTGCTTGGGTGAAACATAGCTTTTGTTGTCATCATTGTGGAGAAATTGCTTACTGATTTAGAGAGCTCAGAAAACATGTACCCATGCATGTAGTGCCATGAACGTTTTTTTTTTTTTTTTTTACTTGCCCGAGTGCAATACATGCATAGAGACGTGAGAGAGAGAGAGAGAGAGAGAGAGAGAGAGAGAGAGAGAGAGAGAGAGAGAGAAAGAGAGAGAGTTGCAGGGATTGAGCAGAGGAGGTCCCGAGGCAAATGGCAGCGTCAAGGACGGGGCTGGTGCCCATCACGAGGGCGTATTCAGCGAAGTTCTACGACCGGTATCCGCTTGAGCCGATCAGCGCGGAGGTGGGATGTCTGTACAACCGGTTGCATGTAATGTGTGACTGGTACGGCGCTTTGAGATGTAACATAGCAGCGGAGGACGAGCATCTTGTGCAGAAGTTGCTGATTTGTCCTCCGCGGAATATTGATGAGAACTTATGGCTGCAGAGGGAGCAAATAGAGGAAATTGTGAACCTTCTGGGTGCAAAGAACTTACCCAGCAGCTGGAAACCACATCGAGTGTCCCTTACGAAGATGGCCCACTCTACAATTCCTTCCATTATGGTTGAAGGCCCCTCGTTCTTTCGAGTTCATTGATTGCTTCCTTGAAGGAAGGATTAACCGCTGCTCCACCCTTGTGAGTCCCTCTTTCTTTCGAGTTCCTTTTAGGCCTCCACTGTGTGAAACTCCCTTGTGATTTTAGAGCTGAATTAGCCCTTTACGACAGCTTCTACGCGTCTTCCTCGTTTCTAAAAGCTCCTGTCCTCCCCCTGCATTTGATGGTGTTCCTGTATTAAAGCTGGATGCTGCTGCATTAGCTCTTTACCACAGTTTGTATTCGTGTTCCTGGTTCCTACACTAGAAAAGTTCCTGTCCTCCTGCATTTGATGGTGTTCCCTTATTAAAGCTGGATGCTGCTGGTAGACTTCTGACCTTCCTTCTTGCAATGCCTCATGCAGCCTCCCTTCAGGGCCTTTTTCAGGCCACCTTACAAACTTTAGCTGTTGCCCCTCCATCTTTGCTACCTTGCCATCTCCCACAGACTCCCAGGCATCTTTTCATGAACTTCCTGAACGCCTCCTGTTCCTTTTTCTTTTCTCCCTCCCCAAAACAGGTCCTTATGGCCCTGGCTCCATATCCATTCGTCAGCCCGGTTCCTTTTTTTTTTTTTCAGATCCAAAATCAGGGTTGCATGCCTGCCGACCGCCGACCCTGACCACCGACCGTTTTGCAGCCGACCAGTAGGGCCTACCGGTCGGCGGTCTGCCGACCAGTCAGAAAACAGCCATCCACTGTTTTTTTTTCAAATCTGAGTTAGGGGCTGTACTGCGCTTGTACAGCCCAAATCCGCTGAGAAACTTTTGGGGATGCGGGGAGGCAGGGGAGGGTGAGGGGGGGGGGTAGTGGGATTAGAAGGGGTATTTGGGGGGGTAATGAGGGTGTTGGGGGGCGATTTGGAGGTGTTGAGGGGATATATAGGGGTATTGGGGGTGGCTGAGGTAGCCAGACGTGCCCCTCCCTTCGACAGATTTTAAGGGCAGAGAAAAAAATTAGGGCCCCGTATTCCTCATTGCGTATAACCTTTTTTCTGAAGGGCCCCCAGCAGAGAATCTGCAGGGCTTTTACATCTCAGCGGAGACTCGACAAATTTCGGATGAGCGAGAAGCAAGCCAGCAATATATCTTCTGGATCCGAATTCAGGTCTTCCAGCAGTTATGGGCTACAACTACTTACTGCCGTTGCTCTCTTTCTTTCTTTTGTTTTCCTTTTTCCTACGAGCAGTGGCCCTAAGGGCCTGGCTCCACTCGTCACCACTTGCACAAAAGACAAAACCTATGGCGGCGTATGATTCCATATTCTAGCAGAAGATTCATTCTAGTTTTGCACATTTGGTGAGTAGTGGACGGAAGCCCTGAAAATCACGTGGTGAGTTGGCCTGCTACTGCCCAGATAATCACGTGCTCTGTGCCCCCATAACTGCTGAAACACGGACCTTAATGTGAATCTACACCATATATAGTTGGCGTGCTGCTGCCCTGCAATCTTTCCGAGACGTGCCACTTTCGTGGAGAGGAGGCCCTTGCTAATTATTTGCAGGGGCCTCTAGGATTACCCGCAGGGGTTTT